TGTAAAAGATAGAGGTTATGGATAAGTTATAATTAAAATCACTTCACATATATGATGAATTCAAACTGTTTATATTTATTTAGAATTGAACTAAAATTGTCATTTGAATAGTTATCATTCAAAATCCTTCGATTTGGGAAACGTGAAAGTAGGGCATTTGAAAGGTTTTGGAGGGTTACAAAAACTTTCAAAATCATCCTTTCCATATTTTTGAACTCCCAAAAATGAAAGGGATGGTCATAAACCCTTGTCAACCCTTTAGATTATGGAGTATATTTTAGTATATTTTATGTGTAAGTTTCATTGTTTCCTGCCATATGGCTAAATTATGAGAGATGGAAAGAGTTTTTATAAGTGTAAAATTCCTTTTGCACATCTTAAAATCTCGTATATCTAAACAATAATGATTTATATCGCGCGCTTATGCGTGTAATCATGTAGGTTAATATAATGTTGATAGTAAGTCGGATTATTTTTCGGACCCACGAGCTACAAACGGACTCCACTAAGGTATTATGGCTATCCAAGTTATACAATTATATATTATACATGTCAAACCTATTGAATGATATACTATGCTAATGAATATCTATTATACCTGGGAGACCTATTTAGTGGTTCATTGTGCTAATAATTATCTTTTGCCAAATGATATCTCAGTTGAAACAAAGATTGATCCATGACATCCTTTTCTCAATCCTTGTTTCTTGACTTTCAGGTAAAATTGATATTGTTAAGTGACATCTTACTTGTGCATGACCATTCTAATTAATCTTATTTTTCGAGAAACCCAATAGGTAGTTTCTATGGTACTTCTAAAGTACAATACATTTGTCCACATGGACCAATCAGGATGTTGCAGTTGAATTATTTAAACATTATATCAAAAATGATATAATCATTTGGACCAATCAAGTTGATGGTAGGTATGCTACCCCATTTTTTAAATGAGTACCGGAGTTGTCACCAACCCAATATATATCTTGCTACCGCAACGTATATGGGAGTGACACAAAGCCTCATTGACCATTGACACACCTTTATAATGTTCATAGTATGCCTAATCACCACTTTTATATTCAGTGACGTATCTAGACATCGAGGCCAGACTGCCAGTGCATGCATAGTGAACATTTTTTTGGTTACATCGGAAGTGAAAAAATAGAAATACATTAATATCTAATACGCTCAAAACCATTAGCATCCTCCTGAAGTAAACTCTTAATCCAGACAGGTGGTTCGTGGAGTATTAAGAGACCCTTTGCTGACTCATGAGCGGCATTAGCTAGTGAATCTGCACAATTATTTCCTTCGCGAAAAGTGTGTTGAAATTTGATAAATCTTTCATCTGCAAGAAGATTTTGACAATCCCGAACCAACACCCCTATTCTGTTGGTGAGACTATTTTTATTCTTAACAACTTTTAGCATACTTTCAGAATGAACTTTCACAATAACTCTATTTATATCGAGATCACAAGCTAACAATAAACCCTGTCTTAGAGCCCAAAGCTCTTCCACAACATGCACAGTGAACATAATAAAAAAGCAATAAGATGATAAATATACTAATTTAAAAATAAGCACACTAATCCAATTTTGAATAAATAAGTGAGAACATTTAACAGAATTTGATATACAATTAGTTCATTTTTAAAATGACCAAATGCATCAATTTTAAAGTAATGAAAAGTGAAAGCTAATACTGTAAGTTATACAAAATCAAACAGCCAAAGTCAGTCTAAAATACGGAGTACCAAAGGGCTGATATTCTTTTACCAAACATCCCATTACCAAAAAGTATGGACCGTATGGTGCCATTTTCTGCAGCCTATGAAGCACGGATACTTCCCCTAGGATAGCGTATCGGCGTATCGGATACGTTCCCGTATCCGATACTCTAGGATACCCGTACCGTACGTTCCCGGGTCGTATCTGTAATTTTTAAAAGTTTCCATTTTTTTTGTAATTTTTTGAAAGTTTCCGATACTCGTATCCTGACGGATACCCGTATCAACTTTTAAAAAAAAAATCCCCAAAATTTACTTAATAAAATTCTAAAAAAAAAATGAAAAACTAAATCTACATTTTACTTGGTAATCAAATAATGGGGCTGTATGGTATATCCGAATTAAGTCATCAACTCATACTCCATATCTAATTTAATGAGCAAGTCCAGAAGCCTATCTCTAAACCCTAATTCAGCAAGCAAGTCCTAGCAAGTTCGACAGCGCAACGAGCAGAGCGACCAAGCATCGCACCTAGCAATCTTTTATTAATTCATTTAGAAGCTGTTCTCTTCGCCTGATCTGAATGTTTCTGATCTGAATTTTTTAAGTTCTGATCTGATCTGATCTGAATTTTTCTGATCTGATCTGATCTGATCTGAATCTGTCTGATCTGATCTGATCTGATCTGAATCTTTCTGATCTGATCTGATCTGATCTGAATCTTTCTGATCTAATCTGAATGTTTCTGATCTGGTCTGATCTGATCTGATCTGAATCTTGCTGATCTGATCTGAATCTTTCTGATCTGATCTGATTCGAATATTTCTATGATTATAATTATAATTATAATTATAATTATAATTATAATTATAATTATAATTATTATAATTGCAATTACAAATATAATTTAAATAAAATTATAATTATAATTGTAATTATAATTACAATATTTATCTCTATAATTGTAACTATAGTTATCAATATTATTATAATTACTCCGTAAAATAATTACAATAGTAGTAATAATAATAATAATAATAATATTAATAATTATAATAAAAATAATAATTATAATCATAAATTATAATTATAATATAATTATAAGTATAATTATAATTATTATAATTATAATTAATAATAATTATAATTATATTAACATTAATTATAATATTATAATTTAATAATAGTAATATAAATACAATTAATATTATTATAACGATATTATTATATTAATATTATTATTACAATAATATAATAATAATATGATTATTATTATTATTATTATAATTAGTATTATATTATTATAATGTTATATTATAATTATAATTATAATCATAATTATAATTATGATTGTAATTATAATTATAATTATTATAATTATAATTAATTACAATTATATTTATAATTAATTATAGATATAATTATAATAATTACGATTCATTATACTTATAATTATAAGAATTATAATTGTATTTATAATTATAATTACATATAATTATAATATAATATTATAATAATATTAATCATATTATTATTATTATAATATTGTAATAATAATAATAATAGTCTTCTTAACAATTGCATTTATATTACTATTATTATATTAAAATATTATAACTATTATTAATATCTTTTTTATCATATTATTATTGATATTATTAATAATAATTATATAATTATAATCATAATAGTAATAACAATATTAATAATAATAATTAATATTTAATATAATAATAAAAATGATAAATCATGTTTGAACTTTTCTGATCTGATCTGATCTGAATGTTTCTGATCTGATCTGAATGTTTCTGATCTGGTCTGATCTGATCTGAATCTTTCTGATCTGATCTGAATCTTTCTGATCTGATCTGATCTGATCTGAATTTTTCTGATCTGATCTGATCTGATCTGATCTGATCTGAATTTTTCTGATCTGATCTGATCTGATCTGAATAAAATAAGAATAAGCAATAAGTAATAAGAATAAGACGAACAGAACAGCACCTTAGAAGAAACAATCTTCTAAGCAATATATGAAATGACAAAAGTAAACTGTGGGATGTTGGTGGAGATGATTTTGAGAGCATGGAGGATATAGGAGTACTTGAGTTTGCCAACCTCTCCATAGATGAACCAGAATTGGAGGCCGTTTTTTGGAAGATGATATTATCCCTGGAAATTAATACTTCAAGTGAAAATATGTATTAGAAGTTAGAGCTTTTAAAATATTGTTTTCTATCTTCATTATTCTAGAACTTTGGTACTTGCACTTTTAATTTCAAGATTGTAGTTGTTTGACTTATTTCTCATTTTAAATTAATGACTTGTCGACTACATTTATATTTCGAGATACACTAGTGTATATGAGAAATATTATGAATTTATTACTAAGTATCTTGAAAAAGGAAAAGAATGACTATATATGTATATAGGGGAGGGTTCTAGTGAGAACCCCTCCTAAAATGAGAACCCCTTATAATGAGAACGTTTAATCTCTACCTTTGATTTTATTCAATCATTGGTAGGATACACATGAGGTCCTTTGTGTAATTATTCAAAACTCAAACGGGGTACTTTTGTAATTATTATAAATTTATTACAAATCAGACCCCATTGCATTAATGCCCTTGATTTGATATATCAAAGGTGGAGATTAAGAGTTCTCATTTATAAATGAGTTCTCATTTTAGGAGAGGTTCTCACTAGAACCCTTCCCTTTGTATATATAGGATATATATATATATATATATATATATATATATATATATATATATATATATATATATATATATATATATATCCCAAAAAAATTATTTTTTTGTATATTTCATAGGATATTATATGTATATATTTCCAAAAAAAATCTATTTTTAATATTTATAAATACACCCCTATAACTTTTAATATTTGCAAATACACCCCCATAACTTTTAATATTAATAAATATGGCCCCGTATCCGTATCCTACTTTTTTTTGTTTTGCCGTATCTTCGTACCCGTTTTCGCGTTTCCGCGTATCGGTATCAGTGCTACATAGGACTGCACCATTTGGAATCCAAAAAATGGCTTATACTATCTTCGAGTTATACATAGTAATACTAAGGGTAGCTCAACTGGTAGCGAGAGAGTGACACAAGGGTTAGGTCTCGGATTCGAATCCCGACAATTCTGATAAGACATTACTATGCTGACGGAGTCACACTCTCTATCTGTACAGCTGTACTCTCTATCTGTGGTTCAGGTATGCTTGTCATCCTTATTTTGAGTGATACGGAGTAATAACTCCCGGGAACTAATTCGGACATAAGAGTGATAGGACAGAAGACCTTTGCACCCCGTCCGTATGAATATTCAAACATAATTTAGCATCTATTTTTCCAGATCTTGATCGGACTAGGCCTCTCTTACTCTTGCGCTTGAAGATTCAAGCTCAATCAAAGGCCGAGAACTTATAATCATCTTAACGGCCAACTCGCGTTCGGACTACAGGTGAAATTTCGACGTAATCTGGGTGTCTCTGTTCACTCAAATCATTTGGATTTAAAAAACCATAATGTAGTATTGTAGTTTGATCCAGGTATAAAGTTTGATTTTCGTTTCAAGTTCGTCTAATTGGATTTGAGATGCTTACTTATCATCTTTAACTACTCATGGTGTCCAGATAGCTCGCAGGGAGATGCGGTCGTGTAGTGCAGATATTTGAGGAGTTTTATTGGATTAATAAGATGCTGCACGTTCCGGCAACTATAGAAGACCAGCTTATACTAAAAGCGATCAGGGAAGAATGCCCCTGGGAAAGCCTGCCGAAGCGGCTCCAAGCTACTTTGAATTCGGCGGAAGAATGGCATAAAAGGTGAGGTTTGCTTTACCATTGACGAGTACTGTAGATACGTTTATGGAAACAGAATCATCTATAGTGTCTACTCATATGGTTTCAAGTAGAGGGACTAAACTCCTAAGGCATATTCAGCATCACAAGCAGTCTAAAGATTACAAGTTGTTTTCTTAAATTACAGTTGTGTTTATGAATTATGAGCACATCAAGTGTATCTACAGCCAACTTCACATTTGAAGAAAGCTATTCTCTAGAATTTGAAAATTTGCAGTTTATGGTTATACTTGGACAAATTATTTTATTTAAGTTGTTTTTTATACCTACTTAGGCTATGTTTTGCTTTATGAGGGAAGCTTGAGACTAATGTCAATTAGGAGCTATTGCCTGAGTTAGATGCTAGTGCTTGGAACTGAATTTGAACTATTAACTGAATGAAGTAGAGCTGTTTGGAAAAACAGGAGAAAAGTGCCTAGAAAATATAGAATTTCAGACCGTAAACATAACAACCACTTCAATGTAAATATAGGAGAATTCATGTAATTTGTGTTTATATACACACCATACTCCTTGTTGGTTTCTGAAGCAAGGAAAACTCACTTGAGAGTTAAAGTTTTTATTCATATTTGTCATCATTTGTGTGAGAAGAATGGCTTCATATGTACACGATTCCCTCTTCCAATAAAACTGAGATGATAAGTGAGTGACAAAGGAAAGAGAAAAGTAGAATGGAAGTAAGAGATAGGAAAATTGAGTGATTCACCAGAAATCACAAGATGACAAGACTGCTAAAAATAAACTTTTTATTCACTCCAGCTGTGTCACCGCACTTTTGTATCATAAGAAAACAGAATCAGGGTAGTTATTATGGGTGTGTATATTTTTACACACACATAAAGGAAAATGTATCTTACAAAATGGGACAGAGGGAGTACTATAGAGTATATACATAGTAATAATCAAATAGATAAAACATTGTGTAACTGGTATTATGCCAAACCTCGTGGAGGTCATTATATTCCCCAACTTGACGGGGAGTGTGGAAACCATAACTGTAGCACTAATGGACTTATAGCTGTAGCTATGAATACACCTATCTGACTAGTCTTTCAGTGAATTAAGAAATGCAATACATCTCTTTTTCCGCTTTTCAGAGTTCACAATATATGCTCCGTATGTGTTTGTGTGTGTGTGTAATCTTTCCAATCAATGCACTTCTTATATTAATAGGCATGCAATTTCGTGTAGTAAAATGTGCAGTTGTGCCCTTTTTATGATATTAGACTTTTAGGTTACACAAAATGCACTGCACTTTTGTTGTCTGGGAAATTGCACTTTCATATTAAAAATCCACTGCATTTTATTCCGCTATTGGATCTCTTAATAGGTCTATCCATATGCTCTTGTTTGGTCTAATCCTGCCCCCATCCCCCACTGTGTGAGAGAGAAAGGGAGACTTATAACTACCGAAGTGGTTGTTCCCTTTTGATCTTATAACTAACCTACCAGCTTGTTGCAGGATAATCAACCACTGCATAAGGAGAAGACTCCAGTGGAATAGTTGTTTTGCTCGCAAAGTTTGCAAAGAAGGTGAATTCTATGAAGAGATGATGCGGTATCTCCGAAGGAATTTAGCGGTGTGTATAATGGGAAGTTATTTTTTATAATTGGTTGTTATTACCTTTTGTAATTTGGAAACTGTAACTACTATTGCATTATCATGCATCCACCAAAACTACTATTGAGTTCCTTCCTGAGTTTGGATATTATCAATTAATGACATTGTTACATTTCTATGATAATATGACTTTCTTTTTCTTTCTAAAGTAGATATGCATGCTGATGTATGCCATTTTAGTTACTCTGTAATTTTCAAGACATGTTCGTGTGAAACTTGATGATGCATTGTGCCATCACTTATTAGAAAAAAGCATTTGATATGCTTGTTTTGCTGTTTACAATAGATTTAGTGATTATTAGATTTATGAACTTTATTATATAATATTTGCAGCTACTTTAACTTCACGATATGTTCACAGAATATATGATTCAGCATATGCCATTACTTATTAGAATAAATAGTTTAGTGTGCTTGTTTTGCTGCTTACGATGGATTTAGTGATTATTAGGATTATGAATTATATTATGTGATATCTACAGCTAATGATAACTACTCCATCTGTCCCTTATAACTTTGTAAACTTTCCTTTTCTGGTTGTCCCACTAACTTTGTCACTTTCCATTTTAAGTAAAGAATTTGTGGTTCTTGTTAAATTTCTCTCCTCTACACAAATCTCTACCACACAGTTTTTACTTTATTATTCTACGTGTCAGTCAACTTTGGAATAGTTATAAGGGACAGAGGAAGTATCTTTTAGTTATGATTTAGTTTTTACTTCTTCCGTGATGGCAAATGATATCAATGATTTTACTTTATTGCTTTTTGCAGTATAGGTAAGTACAAGCATTCATGTAGTATTATTTGCATCACTTCTTTATTTTGGCAACTTTTCATAGTCATACCTTTTCATCTCTAGAAATACACATACCCTTGCCTTTTGATGCTTTCTTTATGAACTGTTCACTAAACATACAACTTACTCTTAGATTGTGTTAAGATCCTATAGGAGCAACTAGAAGTGAATATAGGGAGTATATTTTCTATGGTGTATAAATCTATGTGCTGAGTGCTGACTTTTCGTTAAAAACGCTGAAGTACTTTTGGCTGTTGAAGTGTCTATCATCGGAATCTTCTGAGTTCTGAGCTCTATAAAAATTCACCCTACCACTTAAACTGATGCTTCTTAGTGAATAGAACCATGAAGAAGTTAAATATCTCAAATGTTTTGCACTTTTGCTGCCAGAATTCTGAAATTTCAGATACTCCATGCAGGTCTATTTATAAGTCACGGCAGGGAAGTGCTAAATATAAGCCATTTGAATAATATCTATGCAATTTTAAATTGTTTTTCCATAACTGCTCATATGGAATGAAGTCTAGATGAAGGATCAGAGGTTAATGCAGACTATGAAGTAGAACAGTATGAAACCAAAATTATATTTCAACTAAGATTATTGTAATTTTTTTTTGGTTTGTGTGAAACCAAAATCGTGCCCTGTAAATAGGAACAGAGGTAGTGTTTTCCTTTAATACTTTGAACAGAATTGTTTGTGTCAAACTCAAGCAATCCATGTTCTTATGTGTTGCTTGGCTGTTTGCAGTTGTTTCCATATCATCTTGCAGAGTACATTTGCCGTGTGATGCGAGTGTCTCCTTTCAGATACTATTGTGACATGATATTTGAAGTCATGAAAAATGGTATAACCTCTTAGATTTTTTTTTTTTGCAATTTACTCACATTTTTTGCAATTTTCCATCATTTGCAATAAAGCCAAAGATTCATTATTTTTTGGCTTGAGAATATGATGGAATAAAGCAAAATGGCTTAATAAACTGTCTGCGCTTCTTTGCTTCTTTGTTATGAAGCAGCAGTCAGTCCATGCAATTTTGGACGTGATTTTCACTATGGGTCATCCGAAAACAGTCTCTGTGCTTTAGTACAGGGGTAAGACTGCGTACATCCGACCCCCCCTTACCCCACCGTGGGTGGGAGCCTTTGCGGCACGGGGGTAAATGAAAATGATGATGATGATGATGCAATTTACTCACATTGTATTGCTATTAGTCATATTCTTATACTTTCAGCCTATGCCATACATATGCAAGACTTTGCGGTATAACAGTCGGTCAGGCTACCTTAACTTTGGAAAATACACCCAAAGGTTCATTATGCAGCTTAATGGCCTTGGTTGAAATAATAATTAATCCTTCGGTAGTTAAGTCTCTCAATACAGATTCCCTTCTGGTTTGGGGTTTCTCAGGAAAATGATGCCATCTTTATTCACGGAGTCCATTAACCATAATGCTTATCAATGCCCTTAGTAATGTATAGGAGTTTTACCAAGGGAGGTAGTTCTTTAAAGAAAATGATAATTCACTAGCAGTGCCCCATATCTATTTTCATTTATTCTACTTAGCATTTACATATTGCATCTGATCTTTCTCTGCTTATTATTTTGTTAGGATTATTAGTTTTCTAATGTGAAGGTAGAGAGGCTTGGTTTTTCAAATATTCTATATGCTGGTATCTACAACCAAGTTATTCTTCTCTCATTCTACTATTTTATTGTATGCAGAGCAACCTTATGACAGCATCCCAAATTTTAGTGCTGCAGATGCACTGCGCCTCACAGGGATCGGAAGAAATGAATTCATTGACATTATGAACAAGTGCAGGTCTAAGGTAGTGGCTGAAAATATCATTTATTTATGGCATTGTTTGCTGAGGTGTATCAGACATGCATTCAATATTTATTTTAGTATGGTCAGGTGCTTGTATTATATGAGGGGATAATTGAATCTTGGGTCTATTTGATGAAACAGTTAGTACTGGATAAATATGACCCACTTCAGCCATGGGTATATACCGCACTGGATAAAAAAACCTCTAATGCACATCCCAGCTCTGATTTTTGTCTACCCCTTCAAGCCAACTTGACACCTCATCCCTTATTCCCTCAACTTTTCCCATGGTATAAGATCAGTTGATGCCTAATCCGAAGTATCATTAATCACTGCAATAAAATAGTGAAGTCATCTCGATACAATCTGAGTAGAATTTTCCAATCCGCTCTAGTTTTCTAAACCTAAATGAGGCATATTTTGTGTAGCTTAGAGTAAGATAGATGTACATAAGTACTGGAAAGCGTTGGCCTTCACAAATGACTTGCTTTTTGTGACTTGTGTTGGATGTTTTTACAAATGAATGTTTCCATATATTTCTGTTCATGTAGTGGTATGCCAAGGTATTGGCGTCTTTTTCTTATTTCCCTAACTTAGTACAAATGGTTTGGAGCTTGTCAGAAAATTATGTGGAAGCTGAACAAATCAATTGCCAAGGAACTATTGCCTACCCAACCAGTGGACTTTGTAATTGAGCCGTGGTGGGGAGTTTGTCTTGTCAATTTTACGTTGGAAGAATTTAAGGTTAAGTCTATTTGGTGGCTCTTAACATTTATGAGTAATTAGCTCCATATCTTCACTTTCATTATGATTGGGATGGGATTTGTTGTCTTATTCATATGCTCCACTTTCTGCAGAAACTGACTGAAGAAGAAATGGCCACAATTGATAAAATATGTAGGGAAGAAGTGAATTCATTTATTCTTTTTGACCCTGAAGTGATCAAAGGACTTTACCGACGAGGACTGGTCTATTTTGACTGTCCTGTATATCCTGATGATCGTTTTAAAGGTATTTTATTTGTCTACGCAGTTGGCACTGCAGCTTAGGTGTTATTGGTTCTTCTGTTGCCTGGTTGACAATGTTATTTTCCTTCAATATATAAACTATTTTTATGAATCTATGATAAAACAGCTGTGTGTGTTTTGAACTTTTTAACAATCTTTTGTTGACGGGCAGTGTGTATTATTAAATTGCTAACGTTTTTTTTTTTATATTTTTGGTTTTAACCAATAGCTATGAACTTGGATAACTATGAATAATGACAGGCCTCCATGTTGTTTTCTATACTGCTGCATGCTCAATCAGCAAATGAGAATATCATTGTCACTATATGAATCTTCATTGACCACACTCCTGGGCATGTTGTATGTCCATTAAGGATGTTTAGTCTCTCGACATAGCTTATAATTGCTTGAGGCTTTGTTTGTTATTTTGTTGTGTGTTCAAAAGAAAATGACTTCTGTGGTGTCACACTATTCATTGGGAATATCAATGACTAATGAGATAGGCACAAGATGGACTTCAGCCCATATCTTCATTTCTCCCTTTTGTCTTTTCTATGAACATTTTAAATCATTCATTTTTTGGGTTAAAATGCTCTGGAATTTTGATACACACTATCTTTCAGTTTCCAGACTTGAAGGGTTTGTTTCAAACCGGGAGCAATCCTATGAAGATCCAATTGAGGAGTAAGGCACTTAGTGACAAAATAGTTTAAAAAAACATTGTGGTGTCCATATAGAGAAATAAATTTTCGGTTTTCTGTTTGTTTACTCAGGCTGCTCTATGCTGTTTTTGTGGTGTTGAGTGAGAATTCTACTGTTTCTGAGCTCGCCACAACTTTACAGGCTGACCTTTCTCAGCTTCAAGCAGCTGCTTCTTTTGCTTGTCGACTGGGGTGGGCTATAAAACTACTAGATCCAGCATCTATCCTACAAGACTCGACTGCACCTGGCTCACCCAAAAGCATCATTACTGACGAGGATGATGGTTCCCGTGCGTCTCTCAGCTCTGGAAATGTTACTGATAGTAGTGGCTTCGTGCAAGGAGACATTCCTTTTACAGAAAATCAATGTGTGGCATCTGGTTATACACGTGTTGCTTTTCTCGTGGATGCTAATATCACCTCATATCTTATGATGGGATCTGTTTCACCAGGTTTTTCCACACTCATTTCCCCCCTAAATTAATATTCTCATTTCATTTTGTCTACAAAGACGAAAAGGGAGAGATATCTCTCATTGGCAGAGAAAACCAGCAAAGACTGGAGCCCCATTAAGTGTTGATGCACTTGGAAAAGTTTTGGATCTCCAAAATCTTAAACTCCAACATTTTCCAAATCCCTGTAGTACATCATCTTTGGAAGTCAAAGTTTGTGCTGATTTATGTTCCTGACCTGACTCTGTTAATCAGTAAAGCTAGCTTGTGTTCATAGATACATATTTTGATGGCCAATTTCTCTTGCAGGTCTAAAATCTCATGCCGTGACACTATATGAAGCAGGAAAGCTTGGTCATGCTAGCATTGCAGATCTTTGCAAGGATTTGAGTACACTTGAGGGAACGAAATTTGAAGGAGAGCTGCAGGAATTTGCCAATCATGCTTTTAGTCTCCGGTGTGTCCTGGAGTGCTTAGCTTCAGGTGGGGTTAAAACAGATGGAGTTAAGGATGGTGTTCTGTCATGTACCACCCATGAGGCAACCACCTCAATGGTGGGAACTACATCAGCCGCTAGATCTGGGGATTCTACTTCATGTGGATCTGGGGTAACTGCTGATGATTGTGCTAATAATGAATCTCCCAAAGGCAATACCGATGCTTATGAACCCAGAGTTGGCACCTCTGACAATGATAATTTATTAGAGATTACATCTGGAGATGGGGATCCTCAATCAGTTCTTAGTTCTCAACTTGAAGAAAAACTGGTAACTACTGAGAGTGTAGATGTTGGGAAGGGAAGAGTGACACAGAGAAGCTACCGTGTTGACGTCCTCCGCTGTGAAAGCCTGGCTGCTCTCTCACCAGTAACTTTGGATCGCCTGTTTCTGCGGGACTATGACATCATTGTATCCATGGTTCCACTTCCTCCTTCCGCAGTTTTGCCTGGAGCAAAAGGTCCCCTTCATTTTGGACCTCCCTCCTATTCATCTATGACACCCTGGATGAAATTGAGCCTGTATTCAGCTATGGGGTGTGGACCTCTATCAGTTGTTTTAATGAAAGGGCAGTGCTTAAGGATGCTTCCAGCACCATTAGCAGGCTGTGAAAAAGCCCTTATATGGTCATGGGATGGATCTTCTGTTGGTGGGTTAGGGGGGAAACCCGAAGGGAATTTAGTAAAAGGGAGTATACTTTTGCACTGTTTGAATTCCCTTCTTAAATATGCTGCTGTGCTTGTCCAGCCTCTCAGCAAATATGATCTTGACGAAGCTGGAAAAATTGTTACCTTGGAGATTCCATTACCGTTGATGAACTCTGATGGCTCAACTGCTAACATAGGGGAAGAAATGGGGCTGCACTCTGAACAGTGTCTCAATTTGAACACGCTTTTAACTGATCTTGCAAAAAAAATGAATCTTTGGAGCATTGGTTATATTCGTTTGATAAGGCTTTTCAAAGAAAGAGTTGCAGAAAGTTTTACAGACGATGCTAAGTATGAATGGGTTCCAATGAGTGTGGAATTTGGTATTCCACTATTTAGTCCAAGGTTATGCAGTAACATATGTAAGAGGGTTGTTTCATCACAATTACTCCAAATGGACCTATTTACTGGGCATCGTGATGCCATGCAGGAATTGAGAAAGACGTTGCGGAGTGTGTGCGATGAATACCGAGCAACAGGTCCGGCAGCAAGGCTACTTTACCAAAAAGAGCAATACAAGGAATCACCTCGGCAGCTTATGACCTATGCAAGTGGAAGGTGGAACCCTCTTGTGGATCCTTCATCTCCCATTTCTGGAACCATGAGTGAACACCATAGGTTAAAACTTGCTAATAGACAACGATGCCGGACAGAAGTTTTGAGCTTTGATGGCAATATTTTGAGGTAAGTCTTATCATTCTTTGTTCAAATTCACAAGTTTCTTTTTTGTGCTTCATTTGGTGCACAAGGCATATTATTGTCTTCTTATATGTTACAGTAAACACTTTTTCTTTGCCTTATAGCTCCTTTAACAGTTAATGTCAATGAATGCATGAAACTTATGTGCTCTATGTTTGACATCTTTTGGGAATTCGTGAAAGTATATCTCTGTAAAGCTACAATACTTAATTTGGATGAGCTTATTCTGAGCTTATGTACTTTTGCAAGCACACTAGGCTAAAGATTTACACTGTGCTTCAAAATGTAAATGAAATAGTTTAATTCTTTTTGAAAAACTATCTTTTTAGGTTATATATAATGTAGGGCTAAGCGCGGATCTGATAGAACCGGAAAAATGTAATACCGTACTGTACCGTACCGAGCTTTTTTAATAAGATGGTACAGTACCGGTTCTTAGTGAGAACCGTTCTAGAACCGTATTGAACCGAACCGTCTCGTACAGTACCGAATTGTCCCGAAAACTAGTGTTATAATATAATTATATATTATATATAATATATTTTACCGAGTGTAAATGTTAGTGACCGTATGTCATTACAAATGTGCAATCTTGCATATTCTTTGTCATGTGATGTGATACTTTTTGGTTTTTCAGTTTGACGATCACTTTTGCTATTTGGTTTGGATATTACTTTTCTTTATTATAGTTTGATTATTAGTTTCATATTTCAATTTGATCACACAAGATCAATTAAATGTAGTCTTGCAAGTTCTTTTCTTAAATTTTTGTAGAGTTATTTATAAATGTTAAAATCTAAAGTTTTTCATATTTCATGGGGGTTAATTATTTACGAACTAAATAACACTGAAGAACCGTACCGAACCGTACCGAAAATTGGTATGGAACGGGACATGTTCTATAAATATGCGGGACCGGTTCTTGATTTTTAAAAGAACCGTACTTTGGGACGGGACAAGTTTTTTGAAATAACCGTCCCGTACCGTCTCATGCTCACCCCTAATATAATGATCTGTGGAAATAGCGTATCAGAACAAATTGGAAACGACTCTTCAAAGGACAGTTAAATCCAAAGTACTGGTATGCTTTTCTGAGATTATGGAAAAAGTAGAACTTATTTTGAAAGGTCTATTGTAGAATCACTTAATTAATTAGAATGTTACTCAGACTGCAAATATATCTTCCATGTTTTTTCCATGCTCGGTTAGAATGCAGCTTTAGTTGCTTCATTATGTCTCTGTCCCCTGGAAAGAAAGTTCTAGGCAAAAATGTACTTATTCCCCTTCAGGTTAATAGTTAGTTATGTTACCCTCCCCTGTCATCAACTAGATCTTGCTTGGTCTAATAAATGACCTATAAGACCTAACAATATTGCAAATTGGTCAATGCAGATCTTATGCTCTAACTCCAGTATATGAGGCTGCTACCAGAGTAGTTGATGAATCTACCTCAATGAGTAATGTAAAAGTTGACTCAGATGATACTGAGAGTAAAGAAGTGATTCATCCAGGTGTCAATCTTCTATTTGATGGATTTGAATTGCGCCCTTTCGACATAGGTGCTTGTTTGCAGGCTCGGCAACCTGTTCTTTTGATTGCTGAAGCCACTGCAGCTTCAGAAAATTCTGCAGTTAAATAAAGCAGTCTATGGAATATCTGTTGGTTATCTTTCATTTGCGGGGGTGTGTGGGTTGGGGGTTGAACTTTATGTCAGATAACATTTACGTATACCCGTCAATTGCTTCCTTTTTGGAACAATTTAACACAAAAGTTGTAAAATTAGAACAAATATACCCTTGAACTATCTATATTAGATAACATACATACCCCCTCAATTATTTGGACACTAGGGTATGTTTGTTCCGATTTTACAGTTTTGTGTTTAAGCGTTCCAAGGAAGTTGAGGGGTATATTTGTATTCTGATTTATAGTTTAGGGCGAATCTGTTCTTTCTCCCCGCAAATATCCAGTGCTATGTGGTGCTACAGTGCAGAGAAGACGCCCCAAGGAAAAAAAATTCAAATTCCATCTTCTGATATTACTTTCCATCTACCCAAGCACAAAAACATGAAACACTTGAAGGGGAACACAATTTGCAGGAAAGGTAATTCTAAAGGTTTCCTAAAAGTTTTTGAAATACAGAAACGTCACCCCTAACTCCCTAAGAATTAAGTTTTTTACGTGAGAAGTTATGTTGAGTCTTCTCTATAGAGATTTGTAATTCTACAACCTCTCCATCTCATGTTTGCATGGAAGCCCATTTATTTTGTTCTTATTTTTCCACTTTCATTTAGTCTTTGGATTTGTAAAGTTGTGTACTTGTGTTTACTTGAAGAAAAACGGAAAAGGATCCTTCTTTATTGGGGCACACACTGGAGTTGTATACGTGTTTTGTTCCCTCATAAAAAGTGTGTTCTGATAAAGCATTGGCGGTGGAGAGAGTACAAAAAACCTGTGCATGATTCTTGTATAATGAAAAAAAATTGATCCATAAGTTAGCCACTTTAACTTGTTACTTGATGGTCCAATACTCCAATCCATGAGGAATTGGGGGAAGTGAGTCAACTTGAATGGTACGAGAATAATGAAAGCCGCCTCGCTTCTAGGGGTGGACTCGGGCCGGTTCGGGCTTGGGCCCGGCCGGGCCTCGGTTCATGAAAGGGGAGGCCCGGAACCGGCTCGGGTAACCCCCGGGTCCGGTTCGGGTCGGACTGGGCCGAGCCTCGGTTCAACTTTTTTTTGGGCTTTTCCTAATTAACCCCCAACCCTCCCCCCTCACCCCCAAACCACCCCAAATGGCTCAAAATACCCAGCCCAACCCAAAAACTTAAAAAAATTCAAAAAAAATAAATAAATAAATAAATAAATTGGCCCGGACCGGGCCTGAACCGGCCGGGCAGGTTCACTTTTTCAACGGCCCGAGCCTGGCCCGGAACGGTCCCTGGCCGGGCCTACCCGGACCGGTCCTTGGCCGGGCCTACCCGGACCGGTCCTTGGCCGGGCCGGCGGTTCGGGCCGGTTCAAACAGTGACCGGGCCTGTTCCGGGCCGGGCTGCCCGGCCTGAGTCCACCCCTACTCGCTTCCACTCTTCTCATAATTCTTGGGGGAGAAATGGTACATGTTTGGTTACACGTTGGTTTATATGTTCAAGTGTAATTGTTTGTGCAAAGATAATTGATTTTAAATTTAATAAAAGGAAGTGTTTGTGATCATGAATTGTTTATACATAGAGCGTGTAACCGGTGTGGACAACAGGACAAGTAGCGTTTCTCTTCTTAGGGAGAACTAAGAGTTAAGTTGCTATGATACTGCCGGTGTGGCAGTCCTCATTTTTATCCTAGTCTTCATCAATTATTATTAATCACATAAATTCATTTTTCTAAATAATCACATTATTTCTACATGTCTCAATTTTGGTGAGGTGAAAGTAGTAATTATTGTTATTGAGGCAGTGGTAGTTAATATTAGTGGAGTATAGTATTGTCACCACATTTCAAAGAGTTCGTATACCGTGCAACCGTCCCAGCATGAGCATCATGTTCCCACTCTCAAAACGATGTCATTTTGGACAATTTAAAAAAAATCGCGTGAACAGTACACGTGTGTACAGTGACTTTTCGTGTCCCAGTAACATGTATGATGTAACTCGCGTGTAAAAATATGTAACTCGCGTTATTGATCAATGTAACTCAAGCCCATCCAAAATGTAACTTGTCAAATATTGATTTCAATGTAAACAATGAAAAAGATAGTCTAATTGCACAATTGCTTTAGGTAAAACGTGAATATGTTTTGTTTTTAATAGCATGGTCATAAAAAATAATTTTTTAGAGAAGATCATTTTTTGTTTCAATAGCAGGGGTTGATTTTTTAATGTAACTCGTGTTATTACAAATGTAACTCGCGTTGGTGGCAGATGTAACTTGGGTGTATACAGAATGTAACTTGTTGGAAAATTGAACAATGTTTTTTTTTGTGTTTGAGATATTATAAGCATTGATTTCTAGGGGTGGGATTTTGGAACCGGGAACCGTAGAACCGATTGGAGCCGAACCGTTAACAATTAATGCCTTATTTGTAGGAACCGAACCGGAGCGGGTTATAACGGTTCGGTTCCCGGTTCCTATAAAAAATATGTGCATGGAACCGTTATTAAAAAAAATAAAAAAAAATAAAATAATATTAGTAGTAGTAGTAGTAGTAGTAGTAATAGTAGTAGTAGTAGTAGTAGTAACAATAATAATAATAATAATAATAATAATAATAATAATAATAATAATAATAATAATAATAATAATAATAATAATAATAATAATAATAATAATAATAATAATAATAATAATAATAATAATAATAATAATAATAATAGCAATAATAACCACCACCACAACCACTATAATAAAACAATATAAGATATTTAACTAACAATTCTAATTTAATCAATGGAAAAGAAGTAATAAATATTGTACATGAGGTTGATATAATACATTAAACTCCTTTCTACAAATCAAGTTTTGTTCCATCACATAAATTTTGTAAATATAAAATAACTCAAATAACTTGTAGTTGATTGCACATATTTTACTTTACTATTTTCATGATATTTCTAATTATTAGATTTATTATGAATCAATAGAATGTAATAATGTTTTTTATATCTATACATGCAAACTTAATGTCTTTTTTTTATGTTTTGAAATACTTGAAGTAGGCGTCATATTCTTGCTACTATGATGATGAGTAACCTTCATCGCTCCGACACTACAACGATTTTTAATGTTTCATTTATTACATGAAAATTTAAATCACTTTTGTTCTATTAAGTGTTCAAAGTTCATTAGTTAAGTTTGAGCTTTGATGTTTGAAGTGATTAGAGCTTCAAATAAAATTTTAATACTCGTGTTTTGAATTTTCGACGTGTTTATGTTGTTTGTAGAAAGTAAATTATGTGTTAATTCTTAGACGAGAAAAAATTATTCTAGGAACCGATAAAAGGAAGAACCGAACCGTTTACTACCGGTTCGGTTCCATAACGGTTCTTGATTTTTTATATAGGAACTGAACCGATTTCATTAGTTAAAACTTTTATAATGGTTCCACTTATTTTGAGTATTGAAGGAAAGAGCTGATTTCCAGAATATTGTATTTAGCCGTTAGAATCCTTGTCATTTAATGTGTATTATTATTTACCTTATATACATGATTAGGATGTGTATAAATTGCAGCCTTGTAAACCAGTTTTAGATACACTGAAAATATATTAAAACATCCGTTTCTCTCCTTCTCTATTATGGTATCAGAGCCGCACGAGCTCTAACCAGCCCTCTTTCTTCTCCTATGGCGGCAGACGACCCCCTAGATGGGCAGCCTGCCATTTCTTCTACAACTCCCTCTACCACAGTCAACCCCCTCACTCCAGACGGTTTAATCATCCTCAACCCCAGTCACTTCCCAGAAAAACTTGAAGGGACCAATTACCTCATATGGCGTGACCAAGTGCTTGACCTCTTGGTTGGCTCGCATCTCGACCAGTACATCAGTGATGGTGCTGTTCCGCCACCTCCCAGTAACGCCGCAGAGCATCTCCGGTGGAATCGGCAAGACCGTCTCCTCCGACATGCTCTTGTCTCCTCCCTGAGCTCGGCGTGCAAACCCTTGGTCGGATCCGCACGTACCTCTGCTGCGGTGTGGAAAACTCTGGAGCAACTTTACGGGACCCGTTCAGCAGCTCAAATCAGGAATATGAAGGATGTCTTCCGCCACACTCGTCAGGGATCTAAAACAGTAGGCGAGTATCTCCATCATCTCCGTACGCTCGCCGACGAATTAGCTAAGGCTGGCCGCCCCGTCGACGACGACGACTTCGTCCTTCAAGCCATGGAGGGACTCCGGCCTGAGTTTGACTCCTTTACCAACTCTATTCGAACCTGTGGAGATAACAGCTTCAGCAACATCTATACTCTCCTCACTGGGTTCGAAGCAACTCTGAAACGGAAGGAAGCTCTCGACCCGTCTGTAGCGGTGGTTACCGCTAATACCGCAAGAGTCGCAGAAGATCCGCCTCGTCAAGTACTAAGTGGGGAGTCGGTCGCCTTCGCTGCTCGCAGAGGACCAGGTCCGTCTCACACCTCCTCAATATTGGGCCCTGGCCCATCTGCTCAAAGTTACCCCCAGTCCAGTCGCCAGAATTATCCAGCCCGGAATAATACTGGGAGTCAGCCCAAAAATCAGCAACCTCCTGCTTCTTATAACTCCAACCGACGTGGACAGAATACTTTTAGGGGTCCCACCAACAATCCGACAGCCCGAAACACCCCTGGGAATAGTAATTTCGGGGCAAATCTTGTGTGTCAAATTTGTGGCAAACCAAATCATTCTGCTCTCAATTGTTGGCATCGATTTGAACAACAGGCGTATCCTCCCCAAGTCAACACGGCTATTACTAATCACAATGGTTGGCTACTTGATTCTGGAGCAACCAATCATGTCACCAACAACCTGAATAATCTTACCTTGGCATCCGATTATACTGGCACTGACTCTCTCGTTATTGGGAACGGTAAAGGTCTTGCGATAGCACAAGTTGGGCATATGACCCTTCACTCTCTTTCTCTACCTAATACCCTTTTTGTACCTTCTATTCATACCAATTTAATTTCTGTCGCCAAATTATGTCGTGATAATGACGTACTAATTGAATTTCATTCTTCCTTTTGTCTTGTTAAGGACCGGCGAACAGGAGCAATTTTGTTACGGGGTATGAATAAAGGAGATGTTTACAGCTTGCCAGACGCCCCCCCTCCACCATCTCCATCTGCTCACATCACACAAAAATATTCCCTTAATAAATGGCATTGTCGTTTAGGACATCCTGCCCTCCCTATCACTAAAAAAATCTTATCTTCCTTAGGTATTTCTTTTGCCGATATTACTCCAAATAATTCTCTATGTGTCTCGTGTGCTAGTAATAAAAGCCATAAGCTACCATTTGCAAAATCATCTCTTTCGAGCTTTGGGCCTCTAGATTTAATATATACAGATGTTTGGGGTCCCGCTCGTGTTAATTCTGTTGATGGCTTTCGTTACTATGTTATCTTTGTTGATCATTATACCAAATATATTTGGTTTTATCCCATGACTCATAAGAGTGAGGTGACTCCACTCTTTCAACAATTTAAAAGGATTGTTGAAAACTTTTTTCAACGCACCATTAAAACAGTTTATTCTGATGGGGGAGGAGAATACATCACCTTAGAGAAATTCCTAAGCACATGTGGTATTTCTCATTTATTTACGCCTCCCTACACCCCAGAACACAATGGCTTTGCCGAACGTCGGCATCGTCACATTGTGGAAACTGGTATCACTCTTCTTCACCATGCATCCATGCCTCTTAAATATTGGTCCTATGCTTTTCTTACAGCGGTTTATCTCATTAATAGGCAGCCTGCTCTCTCTCTTAAC